AAGGACAGAGCAGAATCTGAACTCCGGTCTTTCCGACTCGAAGAACTATGTTCTTGCTACTACACCGCCCTGTCCATTCTTGCCCCAGCGTCTCCATTTCTTGGTTAGTTCCTAGTCTAGTTCAAGTTCACTGTCTTGCCTTCCTGGGGAAGCTTGTTTTCCTGATTTGCCACCAGTTGCACAGTGCTTCCTCCCTGTGCATTATCCCTTCTCCAGATTAAACGATCCCTATGCTATTGCTTTCATCTTTTTCCTTCCTCACCTACAGTGGAGGAGGGGTCCACGTAAACCTCTCGGTGCATGTGTCTGCAGAACTGCAGACCTGCACACGTGTGATTCTTTTTTTTTTTTTAGATTTTTATTTATTTATTTGAGAGAGAGAGAGAGAGCACAAGTGGGGTGAAGGGCAGAGGAAGAAGCAGACTCCTGCTGAGCAGGGAGCCTGATGCGGGACTCAGTCCCAAGACTCTGAGATCATGACCTGAGCGGAAGGCAGATGCTTAACCGGCTGAGCCCCCCAGGCGCCCCCACACATGTGATTCTAATGGTTTCCACAAACTACTGGCCAGACCACAAGTAGTTGTGTATGTCTGGAGGCATGTGTATTTCGGGGCACTGTATTGTAGTGGAAAAAACAGGAGCTTTGGAGTCCACAGATAGGCAAAGTGCTTAGGGTCCTGCCCGCCGTGTGGTAAGCGTTCAGGAGCGACATTATTTGCATTTGTGTGTGTGTGTGTGTATCTGTGTGTCGGGTTTATTTGATTGCCAGTCCGTGAGCCCAGAGACTCATGACAAACAGTATGCCCTCTGTGGTCTTGCGTAAGGGGCAACAGTGTGTAGAAACACCATCCTACCTTGCAATGCCCAGTGCATGCTGGGAGGGTGATGTTGTTGGTGGCACCTGTGAGTTACCATGGTGATGGCTGGGTTGGGGGAGACTCTTGCTCTCTTCTGAGCCAGAGGAGCACATACATCCTCCCTGGTTGCTCCTTTTGCAGGGAAAGGCTTGGAGCCCGGACAACCTCATGAGCTCCCCCCGTAGACCTCCTTGTCAACCCAGAGCTGCAGGAGCCCTACCTGGCCTTTGTCCAACCCTGCTTCACACACACACACACACACACACACACCATTCTTACAGCTGGACCCTATTCTATAGGAGTTAAGAGCAAGCATACCCAGACCCTCAGAGTAGGGCTGTGAGGGGTGTTCGGATCAGGGCATCCGATGGAGGGGACAGGTGTGCTCTGCTGGCCACAGCGTGGGCCCAAGCAAGAGCAAGACCCTAGCTAAGCCGGCCTGGAGAATGCTTTTTTCTCATCTGCACGAAGATGACAAATAGGCTGGGGGTGTGCTGACTGCATCCCACAGGGAAGGACGCTGAGGGAGGAGAGGAGCTACCAGGCCCTCCCTCTCTGCTGTGTCTGTACTCTGTTAAGTCCCCTAGGCCTATCCCACACCCAGACTAAACATTTGACAAGACACATGGAGGTGACCTCTGAGGCACCATGACTTATCCAGTAAAACAAATCAGCAAGCTTTGGGGTCATCATCACAAAATGGTGTGTGCCTCACAGACCTTCACCCCATCTCTGATCCTCATGGGAGATGGTGAGAAACGGGTGAAGCTTAGGTATGAGTCAGGTGGATGGAGTGAAGGTCAAGAGGGGGCAAGGGTGAGGGGTGGGGCGAACTCTTTTGCAAATGTAACTTTATTCATATTTTCTAGTTAAATATGTAAAGATTTGCCTTGGGGTCATGGACGGGAACATCAAATTGCCCCCCAACCTAGCCAATGTGTCTGCAGCTTCTTGAGCTCCAGAGGCCTTCCCTGTATGTGCATGTCAGGCCTCTCATCATGGGGCTACCTCTGTACCCCGAGGAAGGTATCTGTCACCCACAAATGTGGAGCACAGCCAGACTTCTCAGGAGCCACCACCCTGAGCTGAACCTTTGAGAAGCAGGCTGGCATGCCCAGGATGACCACCAGGGGGCAGTGCTGGGGCACGGAGGGAGCTTCAGGGGGGTAGCCTCGGCAGGACCCACCCAGGCCTAGGAGCAGATGCAGATCTAGGTCACCCTCCAGCAAATCAGGGTCTAACCCAAACTCCTGCTGTGTATGCGCGTAGGCAGGCTTGGCATCAGACGTTATTCCATTAACCTCTCTCCGAGACCTCCAGCTCATCTCCCCCTCGCTGGACCTCAGCCTCCCATCTCTTCTGTAACCACTTGGACCGGGTCACCTCCAAGGACTCTTGTGGCTCTAATTTTCAGCAAGTCTATGAGACTTTGGGGTATTCCCACCCCACTCTACCGACACGGAAATGAGGTAGCGGGATAGGGTGGTCTTTGAGGGAAGAGGGCAATGTGATCAGTGCAATGAGAAGTAGGAAAGTGTCTCTTTTTTTTGTCACTACTAGAGCATTAAAACCCAGGTTTCCACACCCACACCCCCATGTCCCAGGGCCAGGAGCATTAGAGAATACAGAGGGACCCTCCTGGGGCTGGCTACTATGTATATTAAATACTTTTCCCTAAAAAGAAAAAAAAGACATCTTCCTAAAGGGACATATAGCCATCCATTTTTTTTTTTTTAAGATTTTATTTATTTATTTGAGAGAGCGCACACGCACACATGGTCGAATAGGGAGAGGGGGAGAGGGGGAGGGAAAGAGAGGATCCCAAGCAGACTCCGCGCCCAGCGCCGAGCCCGACCCCACAACCGCAAGACCATGACCTGAGCCAAAACCGAGAGTCAAACCCTCAACCCACTGAGCCACCCAGGCGCCCCTATCCATTCTTTTTAAAAATGTATTTCTTGGCACAGTTTTTGTGGTAGCATCCGTCTATTGAAATGTTCATTGAGCACCTACTGTGTGCTGTCAGCATGCTTGATAGTAATGGTGCAGAGATGCCCTGTGATCGATCACAAGAAATACGAGTTTCTTCCTGGGCTCGACTCCGCTCTGTGGCCTTGGGCAATTTCTTTCATCGTTTTGAGTCTTAGTTTTCCCATCTGTAAAATGGGACAAGAGCACAAACCTCCCGTAAACGTTGTGAGGATTCAACTAGCTGATACATGCACAGGGTTGGCATGCACACAAGTCTCTGAGTAACTCTTGGTCACCTTCCTCTTTGGGACTGCACACCCCTTAGAGTTATGCGCGCCTTTCCCTCATCGCTGCCAAACCCATAGAAAGAATTGCCCTAGCCCAGGAACCCACATCTTGGCACGATGTTCTTAGTCCCCACACAGGCATTTGGGAACCAAGCTTTAAAAATATATGTGTATACTTTCTGATCCTGTCTGTGTTCCATGCCAAGCCATCCGTTAAAGCCTTGGAGAAGCTCACAAGGTGCCATTTGCCAGGATAAATAGGCATTGGCAGCCACAGAAGTGATGACGCTTCTGTGGGACAGAGCTCAGGCCCCTGGCACGGAGGCTTGCCATTTGTCCCTTCTTGCCACCAGCATGGAAGCCGGATACATGATGCTCACCATGAGCGACTCTACCAGCAGTAGCAGCCTCCTGTAGGCTCCCCCAGGGAGAGGAGAGGTGCCTGGGTCTGGGTGTGGAGCTGGTTCTCAGCAAAGGTGCCACCTGGCTTCCTGCCCCCCCTCCCCAGTCCCCCCTCGGCCAACAAGACAGAGCAGCCCCCTGCCAGCCGGCCTGAGTATATTCTTGGGGGAAGATGGGCCTCTGAAGGGATTCGGAAATGTTCCCTTTGGCAGCAAAAAGAACCTCATGCCCCTGCTGAGTCTGTGGGTCGGGGAGGGACCAAGAGGGCAGTTTGACGAGGGGAGGACCACAGAGGGTTTCAGGATAGAAAAGGGAAGTAGCCTCAGAGTCAGGATTCTTGGGGTTTCTCCATGGCTTTGCAATCAGCTCTCTGCAGGCCCCTGACCCTCCATACATTGCCTTTCAGGGAGGCCTTGGGGGATTTGATTCCATTCAGTGAATTTGGACCCCACAGTCAAAGGTAAACCACGGGAGAGGGACAGGTCCTCTTCATTTTAGTGTCCTCAGGGCCTACTGGCATAAACTATGTGTTTGATAAGGTTTACTGGATGGATTGATAGAAAGATGGAGAAAGTTCTTTGAGTTCTTCATGCTCAGAACCTCTTCATCTTTTGGATGTTATTTTCACTCTGGAAAGGAGATGGGATAAATTCTGTTTGCTTTTTGCTGTTGTAGATTGATTCTTCTCATCTGACCATGTTAACATTCTGCCTGGAAACCAAGGTTGAATAAAAGGACCCCTGATCGTTTAGGATTCTGAGGGTGGTGGCCGTACCCATACAGTCCTCCTCACTCGGGATCGCACTGTTGCCCAGAGCTCAGTCTGTGCTCCGGAGAATGACTGCTCATGCCCTCCAGCCTCCCCACCAGCCACCTCACTTTTAGGGGCTCTATCTGCACTATCCCCCCTGAGCCCCATAGAGCAAGTCCAGACATTCCCGGTCAGGGCTTGGGGCCCAGGGAGTGTGACATGCTGGAGCTGGCTCTTACCAGCTTCCCAGAGCTGACTGGTAGCATCTCTTCCTAACCCTGAGGTCAGTGACATCATGTTGGTAGCTTAAAAGAGTCATGGGAGGAATATTTACACCACAGAAATTGGCAAACACTCCAAGTCAGGGCGTCCCCACCTCTGAGGGCTGGTTGTTAAACATTTACCAACATATCACTGGAGATGGGGTTTGGGGCAGACATTTCAGTTGACCTCAACCACAGGAACCTTGCCTGTCAGGGACCTCTGCTCTGAGAAGCAAGGCTTCCCAAAAATGAAGCCAGAAGAAACAGTTCCTCAGGGGGTCTGGGTGGCGTGCCCAACACAGACCCCTTCTAGGGTCAAGATGTCAGGAGGTTCAAGGGCATGTGTCTAGGGTGACCAGCATGGCCTGGGGAGCAGTGTCCTCGGGACATCGTCAGTCTCCACTCCTTGACACCCTCAGCTCTCACCAGAAAGCTCTCCACTCACCCAGCTGCTCTTTTCTCCCTCTAGACCCAGAGTCCCAGAGGAAGAGGACAGTGCAGAATGTCCTGGATCTTCGACAGAACCTGGAAGAGACCATGTCCAGTCTGCGAGGGTCCCAGGTGACTCACAGGTAGGTCTAAACTGCCGACGGGGCCACACCCTCCACTGCTCTTTCTCTCTCCCAGTCTGGAGAGCAGGGCTTCAGAGCCCCACGGTGCCACCGCGGCAGGGACAGGAGAGTTGGCCATCTTGGCAAAAGAAGCTTGGCTTTGCCTGGGATCTGCTTGCGCTTGAGCATGAGATTTCATTTTGAGCAAATGAGTTTGAAAAGCACAAGAGTGGGGAATGCAAAGCCACCCGATGATTCAGGGCATGACCTTCCTGTCCACTTTCCCTCCTTCAACACCAGTCTCCTCATCTGTTACAGATGCTGTCCTCCTCCTGTCCTGAAGTTTCTGTTATTAGAGGCTTCTAGAATCGTGCCCATCCCAACACCCAGCATCTTTTCCCTCTTCTTTCAGTTAGGTGTCCCCTTGCCTCTTCAGCCAGTGGCTGAGGGAGCCTGAGGGAGCCTGAGTGCTCAGGCTCCATGTCACCCAGATCCATGCCATGGGGCTGTGCCCCTTCACCCCACCCTGCAGAGACCTTGCAGCCTCCCGCAGTGTGGGGCATCCCGCCCTCCCATGGCACCTCTCCCTGGAGCGGCATACTGACCACGGCCTCTGCCATGACTCAGAATTTCCCCCACTGGCTCCTAGAGCTGCTCAGATGAGCTCATGCTGTCAGCTCCAAGGGGGATAGAGGGCCAGGCAGGGGGTAGAAGGAGAGGGAGCAGACAGCCAGGATTGGGAAATCCTGGGAGGTGTGGAGCAGGGAGGCTGAGAGCGATTAGGTGGCCTGTCCAGTTGGACTGGAGATTGGTTCCTCCCCATCTCCTGGGGTAGGAAAATGAGAGCAAAGTTGGGACAGAAGGACAAAAGGATAGGGGCTTTGCTGAGCCCAAGTGTGTGGCCACGTGATAGCCAGACTAAACTGACATACCTCCAGTGACAGAGAACTCACTAACTGTCAATCATCTCTGTGCACCGTGGGATTGCCATGACCAGGCAGTGGAACAGAAATCAGGCTTCATAGCTTTCACCCATCAGCTCTAGTTCTTCTTCTGCTTAAGAACACCCCTCTTCCTCCTTCCACTACTCTGCCTAGCCCTGTCCCATCCTCCTTATTGGACACTCAGCCCTTTGCTCCCAGATAGCTGAAATATTTTCAGTGCTAAATCAAAGCCTCTATTCTGTGGGGTTCGCAGGACCCAGCCTACTGAAAGGGATGTGGTCAAGGACATCTAAGGAAAAGAGTGCATGGGGGGAGGCTCCTGGAGGCCCTGGGGCTCAGGACCCCCTACATCTATTCCTAACCTCCATCCCTCACAGTCCTGAGCAGGACCCAAGTGAGACGGGCCGGGCTCAGCTTGGCTCACCAGTTCAGGGACTCGGTGGAGGAAATCTTGAGCATCCTCCTTCCCCCATCCAGGGAAGTTGCTGGAACAGCTCTCAACCAAATCATATGCCAGCTCCATGCCAAAGAAGGCAGAAAGTGCTTAGTTGCTGAGGGGGTCACACCCCAAATGACTCACCCGCAGTGGAAGGGTAGAAGCAACAGCTTCCGTGTCCTGGTGCCACTGACTCTGAGCGGCCAGCCCGTGAAGCAGGACAGGCTGACCCCTTTTTGCTTTCTGTTTGGGGTGGAGAAGAGAGAGCTGGCTGGTTGGAGGGGAGAGCCTCCGACCTCTGGCTTCTGCCTCCCTTTGTGGAAAAGGAACCAAGAGCCCTGAGCTGGTTTTGCTGTTGACTGTGGACCCAGAGCCACTTCCTCTCTTAGCCTTTGGTTTATATTCTTCCTGGTCCACGCTTTGATAGCCAAAACGATTCCCTGAGTATGTAGGGCTTTTTCACTTTTTAAAGTGCTTTCCATCCATCAGCCTTTCCGTCCGTCCTGGGAGGAGGCAGGGTATGTTCATATCGTCTGGGTTAGAGAAGTAGCAGCCGAGGCTGGGGAGAGGGGTCCCTTGCCGGAGTCACGCCGGCTGATGAGGGTGGGTTCTGTGTCCGGCAAGCTTAGAACCCATGCCAGGCACGGTGCTGGGCACCAAACCCCAGAACAAACACAGGCTTCATGCTTGATGGGGAGCTTCCCGTCCAGTGAGCAGTTCCAGCCAGGTTATTTTCACTCTGGAACTTAGAGGCTAGCTCTAGATTCAATTCCTTTTTCAGAAATCTTTTATTTCTGTTCTGCTTCCTCTATTTCTACTGGCTCGTTTCCCCAGCAAGGAGAGCGTCTGGGTCAGGGGGTTGGGGCTGGAGAGGAAATGAAAGTCTCCCTCCAAGCCCGCCACTCTCCCCACCCCAGAGAGAGAGCGAGAGAGAGAGAAAGGCAAGACTGAAGTGCCAGATGCAAGGCTGGAAGGCAAGAACTGACGTTTTAAGCTAGAATCCTCCCCTGCTGACTTAGAGATGTCTGGAGATGGGTTGGGGAGGGGTGTAAAAAAGAGCAGCAGAACCGAGGAAGAGGCACTTTTAGTGCAGAGAGCTAAGCAGGAGTAGGCCAGGAATAGCACTGAGGGATCTGGATGCTCCGCATACGCACAACCCACACTGCGCACTAATTTTATTGCCGTGGTGTAGACTGACTAGGGAAACGGGCTGTCCTGGACCTCTCCAGCGTCGTCACCATGGCCATCATCATCCTTTCCTTTCCCATTCTCATCTCATCGTCACGGTCAGCTTGTTTTCATTAAACCCTTACTGCGTGCGTCCCGGGACTGAGTCTGACGACGAGAACGTCACTGCTCTTCAACTCAGCACATTCGTCCTGGGTCTGCTCCTCATTGATTGGTTCTTGTACCTGGACCCAAGAACATGCCAGGCCGTGCGCAAAGTGCTGACATACAGTGGTGAGCGAGGCGGCCAGTCACACAGGCCCACAGTCTCCTTCAGGGAACTTCCATTCGCTCCGAGGTCCACAGTAATTAGAAACAGAAATAACACAGTATGTGACGAAGCACACGCCGAACACCAGAGGAGGGCCCAGAGGGGAGAAGCCCGATGCACGCCAGGTCAGGAAGCCCCACAGAGGGTCAGAGGCAGTGCTCACAAATTGCCCTGCCCAGCCAGGGCACCCCCAGCTTGTGCACAGGACTTCTGTAGAGACCACCTGCGTGCTCAGATTCAAGGGTCTTTGGGCTCCTCCAGTTCTGTTGATCAAAAAAAATCAACCCTTGGGGAAGCCTGGGTGGCTCAGTCGGTTAGGGGTCTGCCTTCAGCTCGGGTCATGATCTGGGGATCCTGGGATCGAGCCCCACGTCTGGGAAGCCTGCTTCTCCCTCTCCCTCTGCCCCTCCCCCCTGCTTGTGTGTGCGCGTGCGCTCTCTCTCTCTCTTTTTCTCGCTCTATCTCAAATAAATAAATAAAATCTTTAAAAAAAAAATGAACCCTTATTTTCTCAGGGTTGGTAGACACAATTTGGGAGGATTTTCTTTTTTTCAAGGAGCATTACAAAAACAAGAATAGAAAAATCAGTGTCCCACTCATACCTTAACCCCCCAAAGTGACTAAGAAATAGATGTGTTCACAGAGTGGGGGGTTCGTGTGCTTGTGTAACTCCTGCAGCCACAGACTGCCCTAGCTACCCAGCTTTCCAGGCCTATGGATCCTATTTCAGTTACGCAACCCTGCCTGGCTTTAGTCAGGCCGAGCTCCTGAGACCCTACCCATGGTTGATTGGGGCTGGCAACGCTGCTGGGATGAGTGGGATGATCAGTCTCTGTCTGAACCCACATCCAGGCCACCTCTCCAAGCAGATCCCAACTATCCTTGCTCTCTGCAGCCACCTGCAGAGGGTCCCTGGGGGAGAAAGGCATCTCCTTCTCCAACTCCCAGACTCCCTCTGTGTCAGGTCGTCCAGCACAAACCTGGGCATGCTTTCCTGGCCTGGCCTAGCAGGGCCTGAGGCGTGGGGCCCTGCACATCCTGTCTTCACCCCGTTGTCCATTTCCCCATGTTCTCTCCTCTTTCCAGTTAAGGCTGCTTCTGTTCTCTGGTGAGGTGCTGCTGCTTTCTCCTGACAGCTTAGGCCTTTCACTAGTCTTATTGGGAACCAGCCACGCATCTCAGGTTCCCAAAGCTTTGCCTATACCCTCTGTAACCCACTCCAGGCTTTGCCATCTCTGGTTTGGGAATCAACTAGCTCTTAGCTTGTTAACAGAAAAGAGGTGATAGACACGCCCTGAACAAATGAATGATCAAGGCCTTTGCAGCTGGGGTGACCAGTCTGTCCCACTTCCCCCAAGCGATCCCACTGGACTCTTCCCATTTATTGAGCAGCTTGTATATACCAGGCACTGCGTTAGACATTTACATATGTGATCCTTACAACTCTGTGGAGTAGCTAATATGCTATTATCCCCATTTTACAGATGAGGAAATGGAGGCTTAGCAAGATTGATGAGTTCACCTCCAGCTCACTTACAAATAAATGGTAGAAAAGGACTAAAACCCAGCTCATGTCATAAAATCTATGCCCTTAGGCAGTATATGGGATTGGTTCCCTCGCACTTAAGAATCCTTTTCATCTGACAACTTCAGGTAACACTAACAGGGGTGCCGGACCCGAAGAGAGGCCTCCTGGAGGTTCCTGGAGCCCACGTGGGCAGGTGCAGAGGAGGCGGGAGGGCCTGGGAAGGCGGAAGGGTCGCTGGAGTGCAGTCCGCCGGGACAGGGCCCAGAGCGGCCCTGCCAGAATGAAAACCAGTGTCCTTCTGCCCTCTGCCCAGCTCCCTGGAGATGACGTGCTACGACAGTGATGACGCCAACCCTCGCAGTGTGTCCAGCCTCTCCAGCCGCTCGTCCCCCCTCTCCTGGCGCTATGGCCAGTCCAGCCCGCGGCTGCAGGCCGGGGACGCACCCTCGGTGGGCGGGGGCTGCCGCTCGGAGGGGCCGCCCGCCTGGTACATGCACGGGGAACGGGCCCACTACTCGCACACCATGCCCATGCGCAGCCCCAGCAAGCTCAGCCACATCTCCCGCCTGGAGCTGGTCGAGTCCCTGGACTCAGACGAGGTGGACCTCAAGTCCGGCTACATGAGCGACAGCGACCTCATGGGCAAGACCATGACGGAGGACGACGACATCACTACCGGGTAAGGCCCCTTGCACCGTGGGGCAAGGGGGCTAGGGAGGGCAGGAGGAAGACCAGTGGAGCGGGATTCCTTCAGAGGGGAGTTGGACTCACGACAGGAGTTTGGGTTGCTGTGCTGTGACAAGAGACAGCTGTGCGGGGCCTTTGGACACTGGTCGTGGCTGCCCCCGAAATTTGATGTGGTGTATTACGGGCTTTGGTGTGGTGGGTGGGGCCACCATTGGAGGGGCTGATTGGTCAATGGCGGGACCTCCCTCTCATTGGCCCGGGTGGCTGTCGCTCTAAGGCATGCCCCGCCCTCCCCGGTCCTTTGCCCTCAAAAGGCTGACGGGACGGGCTCTGGGGAGGAAATGGTGTTAGTCCCCGTTCTGCTAACTCCGTGTGGGCCTCGGACAACCTAATCCTGCTATCCCCTTTGTAAAAAGAGGATGAGAGGACTACACCTACCTACCTCCGAGTCTAACAGGAAGAGAAAATAAGAGCACTACTGAAACAGAAAAGTGGGACTGGTGGCTCCCCCTTCCCTCGCCGGGATTCCCGGCCCCTCTGTCCCGTGTGCCTTCCCCCATGGCACTCAGTTTCCACTGCTCTGGTTTCTTCCTCTGCAGACCTTCTACCAGTAATGCAACTTCCGAGCCCCTATCCCGGTCTGTTAAACCCTTCCTTCCTGTACTTTGCCCCACAGGGACCCTCATCTTTTCTGCCCCCAATTCGCAGGGTTGGGTTTGTGGAGCAACGTGGACATAGGCAACAGTCTGGGAAGTGAAGGAGAAGATAGAAAGAAAGAAGTGTGGGAGGTGGCAGGGGTCCTGGCCCAACTGTTCCAAGCTGTGAGATCGGAGAGCTGTAGCGGTTCTGGAACCTTCTCCAGAGCATCTTTCAGTTCACTGCTACTTCCTCTCTTCCTTCTTGGTTTGCTGGAACTTTGCAAGGGACCACACAAGTAGTGACAACACCCACTCCCCCTCCCCCTCTCAGGGACTACCTCTTCCCAATAAAAACCCCCAAGCTTCAAGAGAATGGAAAGTAGCCCCTCCTAGGAAAGGACTAAGAGCTGAGCTCCAGGCCATCCACTGTTCCCCACCCTTGGGGACAAACTTGGAGGGACTGGGCAGGGCCTGTCCGGCTGATGAGGCTGCTCTGGAGCAAAACAACTGACTCATGAATGGGGTTGTTTACTGCCTCTTCAATCCCCGGGGCCGGCCCGACCTCACGCTCAGATCCACCAGCCTGGAGCTGGGACTGCAGAAAAGCCACCCAGCTCCTCCTGTGCTCAGAGGGCTTTGCCGGGCAGGAAGGAGAGCCAAGGTGTCTGACGGGCTGCTTTGTACAGCCACTGTGCTGGGAAGCTGCTTCTCTGAGGAAGCATCCGGTCCCTGCCTTCTGAGAGCTCCCAGTTGGGTGGAGCAAAGGGAGGCACAACCCCTGTGAGGCAGAGGGCTCTGAAAGTTCCCCATGTGCTGGAAGGACCGCAGCCCCAGCCCTCGGGAAGCTCCCAGACAGAGGGAGGTGAGAGCCGTCCTCCACGGTGCACGCAATGGCCATGGCAGAAGATTTACCAAACGTTGGAAGGCACAAGACTCCTGCCTTTGGAGAGATCCCAGTCTGACGCAGGTGGCAGGACTTCCTAGCTGTGTGAGCTTGGGGAAGTTAGGTAACCTCTCCAGGCTTTAGTTTGTCTGTCTGCTAAATGCAGATAATAGAACCTATCTCAGGATGATTATAAGGATTAAATAGCTAAACACATAGAAAGTGCTTGGAATAATCCCTGGCTCATTGTAAATGCTCAATAAATGTTAGCTTTTTTTTTTTTTTTTTTGCTGTTACTGGTTATTATCGTTATTGTTAAAATGCCATTCTGAAGGAGGAGAAGGACTCCTGCCCCCTGAGGTTCCCAGACTTGCCCCCAGGGACTGTGCAGTTTCACCCGAGTGCCACTCAGAATCAGCAGCTGGGACAGATGTAGCAGCAGCTGGCCAAACCTGGAAGCATCGATTTTGGGGGTGTGAGGGCATGGGATGCTAGGCAGAGGGGAGCCAGGAAAGATGAGCTTAATCCACCCTTTCTTTATCCCCTTCCCTCTGGACAGGGTGTGTGCTCCTGAATCAGTTAAAAAAAAGCAGACTTCACTTAGCCTAGCATGAATGAGAACGTGTAAACTCAGACTTTCTGGAGAAGAAAGTGTTGGCATGGAAGTATCCGTAAAGTGGACCTGACTACAATCTGCGATGCTGGTTTCCAAGATGATTTCATGTGTGTTGTTTATGGGCGGTCTGCAGTTAGCAGGAACTCTTAACGCTTGATAGTTTTAAGGTTTCTCCATTGTTGACTTCCCTGCCAGGCCTAGGAACACACCCACCCTTCAGTGTGCTAAGGAAGTCAGAGCTGAAGGGAACCCACTTATAATCCCAGTAATTTTCATGTAAGCAGTCACTCCTCAGTTTGTGTTTGCATGGTTAAGTGTTGTGCTTTTTCATTAGAGACTGGGCATCCTCAGTTCCAGCAAGAGAACATGCAGACCTGAGCGGCCCCTGCTCAGCCCCCTTCTTGGCCCTCCCAACCCCCACTGTGGTTTCCGTCCAGGTTTTATAATTTAGAAAATGTCCTGTTTCTCCGAAAATTGTTTTCCCTATTCATGAACTGAGTAGGGCTGTTCCCTGTAGGGGTGGCCTGTAGGGCTTCCTTTCTCAACCAACACAGTGACACCTCCTTGACCCCTGTCAGCCACTGCCCATTGCCATTCAGTCTCCTGCTTCCCAATACTAGGCTAGCAGGAGAGGTGAAGCCTCTGCTTTCCCCACTGGGCGACACACGATCAGCCACAAGCCGTCCGAGTGAGCCATGCAAGATGACAGTGATTTGGAGTGCTCTCAGTTATCTGCTGGGGGAGCTGCCCCTTGGGTGTTTTTCAGCTCTCTCCGCTCCATCCAAACACCAGGCCTTCCCTGGGTTGCCAGTCTGTGGGGGCTCAGGGAAGGCACATTCTTCAAACGGAAGCTCAGCAAACTAGAATGAGGAAGGTGAATTTGCTGCCAAAAGAATCCTATTTTTAAAAATTACAGTTTTTAAAAAATTGTGGCAAAATACGTTTTTTTATATATAGCTAATACATCAACAATTTTTTAGAGTGCAGCTCAATGGCATGAAGCGCATCCACATGGTTATGTAACCATGACTGCCATTCATCTCCAGAACTTTTTCCATCTTCCCAGACTGAAACTCTGTCCCCATGGAATGCTGACTTATCATTTTCCCCTCCCCCCAGCCCCTGGCAACCACCATTCTACTCTGTCTTTGTGAACTTGACTGCTCTAGGTACCTCATGCAGGCAGAATCATACAGTATGTGTCCTGCTGGGACTGGTTTGTTTTACCTAGCATAATGTCCTCAGGGTTCATTTATGTGTAGCATGTACCAGAATTTCCTTCCTTTTTAGGGCTAAATAATATTTTAATGTAGGGATATACCACATTTTATTTATCCATTCAGCTGTCGATGGGTTGTTTCCACTTTCTGGCTCTTGTAAATAATCCTGCTGTGAACATTGGTGAACAAATATCTGTTCAGGCCCTTGCTTTCAATTCTTTGGGTACATACCAAAAAGTAGGATTATCAGATCATATGTAGTTACATATGATCACATATAGTTACTCTATTTTAATTTTTGAGGAACCTCTATACTGTTTTCCACAGGGCCATACCATTTTACATTTCCACCAGCAATGCATGAGGAGTACAATTTCTCCACCTCCTTGCCAACACTTACAATTTTCTGTTTGTTTGGGTTTTTAATAATAGCCATCCTAATGAGTGTGAAGTGGTATCTCATTGTGGTTTTGATTTGTGTTTCCCTGACGAGTAGCGGTGTTGAACATCTTTTCATGTGTTTATTGGCCATTGCTATGTCATCTTTGGAAAAATGTCTACTCAAGTCCTTTACCCATTTTTTAATTGGGTTGTGTTGTCATTGTTGAGTTGTAGGAGTTCTTTATATATTCTGGTTATTAATCTCTTGTCAAACATATGATTTGCGAATATTTTCTCCCCATGTGCTATGGGTTGCCTTTTCATTCTGTTATTAGTGTCCTCTGAGCACAAAAGTTTTTCATTTTGATGAACTCCAATTTATCTAATGTTTCTTTTGTTGCCTATGCTTTAGGTGTTGTATCCAAGAAGTCACTGCCAAATCCAATGTCACGAACCTCTGCCCCTGTGTTTTCTTCTAAGAGTTTTATAGCTAATGGGACTTCTTTTTTTTTTTTTTAAGATTTTTTTTTTTATTTATTTACTTGAGAGAGAGAATGAGAGAGAGAGAGAGAGACCACATGAGAGGGAGGGGGGAGGGTCAGAGGGAGACGCAGACTCCCTGGTGAGCAGGGAGCCTGATGCGGGACTCGATCCAGGGACTCCAGGATCATGACCTGAGCTGAAGGCAGTCGCTTAACCAACTGAGCCACCCAGGCGCCCTAGCTAATGGGACTTCTTAAAAATTTAGATTCCAAATCCCATTCCAGACCTACCAAGGCAGATTCTCTGCTACTCAGGAAGCCATATTTTTCTAAAGCTTCTCAGTGATTTTGGACTAGTCTATCTTCCCATAAGGGACAAGAATCTTCTTTATAGCATTCCTGATAGCCACTCTTTCGGTGTTGCCTTGCGTAGACACAATGAGCTTATTTTATTTCCTATAGAACAAAATTATGAGAACGTTTCTAAATATCCACCTGAAATCAGCTTCCCTTCGGCCTATTGATTCAAATGCTGCCATCCAAGAAAAATAGAGTAAGTGGAAATCTTCACTCAAATATTTCAACATGTTCTTAATGATCGCTCAGATAGTCTCTTCTCTAGACCAAAAAAAAAAAAAAGTCATTTCATTATTTTCTTAAATGACCCAGTTATCCAGATCGTGATTATCCTCTTCACCCTCCCCTGGAAGCTCTCAGGTTGTCAATGATCCTCTTAAAATTTGGCACCTAAACCAATCACCGCCTGACACTAGGCC